GAATCCGGCTTTTCTACCCTCCCACTTCCCGTACACTTCGATCTCCTATTATTTTCTGCAGTCACGGTTAAGTCACGTCAACATTTTATATTGATATTTTTATAAAGATAATAAGATAAAAAATAATAATAATATAAAATATTAACGTGGTTTAATCATGATCGCACAAATAAGAGGAAATGAGAGTGTATGAGAAGTGGAGGGCAAAGAAGCCAGGTCCCTCTCTCTCATGCGCTTTCTTTCTCCCCTAATCACCCTATCCAATTTTTCAATCAACCTAAGCCCATGTTCTCTCTCCTGCAACCCCTAATCTCCTCTCTCTCATGCTCAACTCCCTCCACGACGGCGGCCTCTCAAATATCGCGTCTTTCGGTGACTTGGGAAATAAAATTTTGAAATCAATGAAATTTTTGGGGTTTTTTCTTCGAATTGAGAGCGAAAATAGAGAGATTTTTTGCGTTTCGGGTCGAATTGGTTTGTGGAGGATCTGAGCTCTTAGTGTGTGAAAACTGGAGGGATGAGGTTGGCAGAGTGGTCTGGGGGTTGCGATGGTGATGGGGAAGGGCTGCGGTGGTGATGGGGAAGGGGGTGGTTGCGGTTGCTGCTTGTGTGGGTTGGCAACCATTGGATCTGTGGATCCATGAAATAAAAAATTATTATTTTTTCACGTGGCACAAATTTTTTCACGTGAAATTAAAATAAAATAGTACATGAAATATAAAAATGAAATGTTTTAAAAATGTTGTAAGAAATTGAAATCGATCTCAAATCTAACTGAGTTAAATGTAATTTATCCAAAATTATATGTAAAATTCCCACTAAACAAGGACAGCAGAGCAATCAGTAAAGTGTGGTACCGCTTGCAATATAAAGGCCCTTTTCTATCATCTTCCATTGAAAAAAGCCCTTAAAGGCAAAAGCTGCCTAGATCATCGGCCCACCTACCAAAAAGTACCCAAGAGAGGACAATATGACTGGATCACCAATATTGACCAAATAGCAATATTAGCATATAAAAACCGAGAATGATTTCCATAAAACATGTTCATCGTTACTATAACGTTTTAGTTTAGCATACAATAACGTTTATGTGTGTTTCTTTACATTGTATTGTATTATTGAACATAATATTATATTAACAACGAACACCTTTTATATAAGTTGCTATTTCAGAAAAAGAAAGGGTGTGACAAGACAAAAAATGGAGCTCCCTCCCTCTGAGTGCGATCATAATATTTCAGAGCAGCTGTCCCCTTGCATCCCTACACGCTACTCTTCTTGCATGTTCCCCTCATACCACGCCTCATTCTTTTTCACGATTCCTCAAGTGTGGACCCCAACCTCGTCAGTCCCACCACATCATATATACGTTTGGTCGTATTCTCTTTATTAATTTTTATGGCTAATTATGGTTTTCATTCTTAAGCATGCTTAGTACGGTTTTATTTATGGTGTTAATGGAAAGCTTAATTATGGTGTTAATGTAACGATCTCAATCATTTGTTTGTTCTCTAAAGTTCCCACACTCACCCGACCCATCTTGTAATTTTAGTATTTTCGTTGGATGACATTAATATCAACTTCTTTGATTTCTGCATATAACATATTTTAAGCGTTGAAATTAATCATGATTATTGTTTATAATCCTTTGCATTTCATCTTTTTTGGTTGGGCCGGAGTGCTAAAGATAATCATCTACAAGAAACGCACTCGTCTTCGAGTACGTATGAAGATGATAAAAACTTGTGCAGACGCTTTAAGAATATAATAAAAACATGATATCTTATGTATTTTAGTCTTCTCTAACATAACGAAACTAAAATTTTCTATCATAATTTGATTAAATGATTGTTTAGAGTGGTGGGTTCCATAATAGAATGTGGGTGACACCTACACCTCCTCTAGCCCCATTGGATATATGTTGTGCAGTGTTGTAGATAGGGCCACATTTGCAAGATTAATCACTTGAGAATGAAGTGGGTGACACCAATAAAAAGCAGATATGGTATCAAGCGGATTTGGAGCGTATAATTAACGATGAAAAACTAATCCTTATATAATTAGTGAGAGATTATCTTTATATTTCTCTATGATGCACAAGCAAAAAGGACCACATCAGAATCACAGAACGTCTTCAAGGTTATCTGTGCTGCATGCCCGACACGTGTCGTCTATCGAGCGGTCGTTGGAATATACAATCGTTGAGCGTATCTATGTTAAACTAGGAATTAAGTGCTGGATTAATCTCAGAATTCGGCTAGTTTCAATTCCAAAGCTGTTGACCAGAGTGCAAGAGGGCCCCGCCCTTTTACTTGCAGCTCGATCTTAGCGTCAAATATGAACCGTCCGATCATGGTAGTCTTCATGATGGACATAATATTAAAATTTAAAAAAAATCACCGAATGAATCATACTTCCGCAAAGCAATCTTACGGAAACGATGTCGCCTAAGCCGTAATCCACCAACCCACCAAACCAGGTGCTTCTATTGTTTAGTAAGTGAGGTGGGGCCATGCCTCCATGAATAATGTTGATCGGGTCGCGTTTCGTGGGGGTAAAAAGTACTTCTTAAAAAGTGCTTCTAACATATATGTTAAGATCAGTCGTTCAATCAATCTTAAATATATTATATTTTTAAAAAAATATATATTTAAAATTATAAAAATATTTACAGTTATTCAATCAATCTCAAATATATTATTTTTTATTGGGCTATTTGTCCTATGCTACCATGCAAGTGCAAGGATAGAAAGGGAAACGTGGTTAATATGTAATCATGTGTGTGGCATGAGGAATATAATGTGGGGAAGCGTGGCAACACCATTGACCTTTTGTTAGTGGAGCCTCCAAAGTGCTCTAAAACCATCCCAAAAATCGTTGCCCAATTTTCCATTTTAGAGTCCCACATACTCAAAGATAAGTCATAAATGATGCAGACCGACCTATATCAAAAAAAGTCTAAAGTGGATTTAACCGTATCAAATTGGACCTACCAAAGTAATGTGTTACTAGACACTCTTTTTGTACAAAAACAAAGTAGAGTGCCTCCATCCAAATTTTATTTTCCTATATTGGAAAATCGTCCATCCTTCTATTGCCAACAACTAGTTAGCGTGATAAAAAAAATTAGCTAAATCAAAAACACCAGTAAGGTATTGTGTATCTTTCGATTCTCGACAAGAACACTACTAAATCTCATTGAAATTACTAAAACACAATATAAATAACCAAATTCAATAATTATTAAAGGTCCATGCAAATATACCTATAACTCATATTACATTGTGTCGAACTCATCTTCTTTCTTGATTTAGATGAATTTCAATTGCTACGAGCTTTATTCGTTTTTTGGGCAAACTGGTCAATTTATTTAGTTGTGGGAAATATAATCTCGTATTTGGGCCCACTCTCTACTACCCTCACAAAATCTCACAAGTTTTTATTAATTTGGTCTTGTTTGTATTAACGTGAAAATGTCTTATTAATTTGTCTGTACTTGAAATTTTTTCTTCACATTGCACTTAGCATTGCCTAGAATAATAATAAATAAATCTTCCTCACCCAAAAAAAAAAAAAAAAAGAAGAAGCATGTGTACACATTTTAATTCATGGAGAATGCGTGTGAGAATAAAAGAATCATGTTAGTTTGAGCGTGTAATTAAAAATGGGGGAGGATCCGGATCCGGGCGGAATAAAGGAAGCCGCGAAGTGCAGACGAGATGTGTGAAACGCAGAAGCGGCGCCGCGACGGACCAGACAGGTTCTGACACGTGTCACTCGCATGATCGTGCGCCAGCCCCATTTGATTTTGTCGTGAACAGCACGCGTGGAAGATGTGTCAAAACACCAGACGCAAAGAGCGAAAGCTTTCCAGTCTTAAAAGTTAAAAGCAACTTTACTTTCTTTCTCTCGTTTTTTTTTAAAATGGTTTATATATATATATATATATATAATTATAATTATAAAAGAAAAATAATAAAAATAAATATAGAGACGTAAATACAAGGAGAGGGGGAGGGAGGTTGAAAGCTTTGAAAGTGGGAGTGGCTTATATGCGAAAAAGCACAAAAGCTGACGGGAAGAATAGGGGACCCTGCAAATCCTCGTAATCCACGTGCTAAATTACGCTATATTTTGACACTCTTGGCTTCCATTGAACATTTGAACTCTTTCAAATTATATAACGGGAACATAATAGAATATTCGTCTAGATAAAAATCTGCTCCTTCTCTAATTGGTGATCAACGATTTATAGTCGGTCAGTTGTTTTTGGACACAATATAAGGTTGAGATAAAAAGTTAAGGCATTAAAATAATACCTATTTATTCTGCATTATTAATATCAAATTAAAGATGAGTAATTATGCATTTTTAAGCCATCTCTAATGGAGTGCTAAATGCTCAAAAGTAAAAATATAACAAAAAAAAAAAAAAAAGCTAAAAAACTGTCTCTAACAAGCAAGCTAAATTCAAGTCAACATCAGATTAATCCTTATTCGCTTTGTCAGTCGGCCAAAGGGCTATCAGGTTTGACAAACATAACAAGCCTGATAGCCCAAAGATAAGTTTATGTGGGCTCCACTTTTCTTTTTCCTCGTCTCTCTCTCCTTTCTTTTCAAATTTCTTCCTTTTCTCTTTATCTCTTGCTCGTTCTCTTTACTCTTCCCAATTCTCTCTCATAAGTTCCGTCTCTTGGAGCACACATATTAATTCAAGCCATGGATACAATGTCATGCGTTTTAATATTCTTGCTTAATATTGTCCACCCATAGAACATGTAAATATTTCTCCTTAGTAGTTCAAAAAAGACTTATTGCACAGTGCATAACGTACTAATTGAAACGTTCTGAACCAATAATGCAAAAACTCACACACTGTATCTGCGTACAAGAAGAGATTACTGTAGTCAACCAGTCCTATACTGTTTTCGTGTTCACCTAGCCTTGCTCTGCTTTTTCCCCATTTCTTTATTACTCACATTTCAACGAAAATGCCATAAAAAATCATAAAAACAATACAACGCTATTATTATGTATTATTATTTTTGCAGCACAGTTTAAAGCTGCAACGGAATCACCCTATACAGAAAAGTGTGTGCGTAGGATTGGAGCATGCATACACTCTTTCCAGTTTCAAAGCAAACGAAAGGAAAAACAAGAGAGAGGAGAGAGGAGAGAGGAGAGAGGAGGGAGGAAGGGAGAGAGAGGGTGTGTAGAACTAGTGGGTTCATCGAAAGGTCGGTTTCTTTTGGAGGGTAAAAACAAGCACTCGATTAGGAGTGGGAGAAGGAGGACAGAGAGAGAGAGAGTAGGTGCTCTCAAAAACCCAAGCTTTGGTCCGCGTGCTTGGATGAAAGGAACTGATGGGTCTTGGTTTGTGCCAAATTAAAGCCCCACTAGTTGATAAAAAAGATCCTTGGCAGTGCCTTTGTGCAGTTTTTGTTCCTTGATTTTGGTTCTACTCTGGACTGTCCTGTGGGGGTACTCCTCTTCTGCTTTTGTTCCCCTTCCATCATTGGACTGGACTGGATTGGATTGGATTGGATTGTTTGTTTTCTCATGGGATTCTCACAAATGGGTTACTCAATTCCTTGGATTTTCAGATGAAAAAGTAAGAGATTTCTTGATTTGGGGTTCTGGGTTTTGCATTAAACATGTTAAAGTTCAAATATTTGGGGTAAAATACTGAGAAATCCGCAAGAGAAATGATGGTTTCCGTGGAGGAGAAGCTCAAAACTGGATGCTTGCTTGATGAGATGAAGCTGCTGAAAGAGCTGCAGGACCACTCTGGTTTGTTTGTTCTTCCTTTTTGATTTCAAAAAGTTTGAATCTTTCAACGTACCCTTTTAATGTTGCCTTAATTAAACGGCATTTTCATCAATTTTTGTCGGAAGTTTGTTAAGGATTGTGTCTTTGGTTTGTTTCAGGGACCCGGAAGGCTATAAATTCGGAGCTATGGCACGCCTGCGCCGGCCCGCTTGTTTGCTTGCCGCAGGTTGGGAGTCTCTCGTACTACTTCCCCCAAGGACATAGCGAACAGGTTTCAAATTGTTGTCCGAATATCTGCAATTTTGATGTCTTTCTGTTTGGTCCTTGGTATTTGAGGAAACTGATGAGGGTTTTGCTGCTGAAATGTAGGTGGCGGTTTCGACGAAAAGAACGGCAACCTCACAAATTCCGAACTATCCCAATCTCCCTTCGCAGTTGCTATGCCAAGTTCAAAATGTTACACTGCATGTATGTATTTTAGCAGATTGTCACTTGTTTTCTATACATAGGAGCATACTGTCAACGAAGTCGGAAAAAACAATGATTTTAAACCGTGATTTATGTTTCCAATAGGCAGACAAAGAAACCGACGAAATCTATGCACAAATGAGCCTTAAACCAGTGAGCTCTGTAAGTTTGATTACTATTGTAATTCTTAAATTTGTCACATTTTCATCTGTTGTTAACAATTTAAGTTCGATAATATGATGTGACGAATAATTTGTCGTTCGGTCAGGAAAGGGATGTCTTCCCGGTACCAGACTATGGAATGAAGCCTAGTAAACATCCATCTGAGTTTTTCTGCAAAACTTTGACTGCAAGTGACACAAGCACACACGGGGGATTCTCCGTGCCGCGTAGGGCAGCAGAAAAGCTCTTTCCTCCCCTGGTGAGGGTTTTTTTTCCTTTATTTTGTCTACCCATTTTTGTATTGGGAAATTTTAATCAGAGGAGGATGTGGATTTACATTTTGCTTGTAATTTATGCCAGGATTTCACAATGCAACCACCAACCCAAGAACTTGTTGTCCGAGACTTGCACGATAATACCTGGACATTTCGCCACATTTATCGCGGTGAGAATGCTGAAGTATTCGTTTCTACTTCATGCTGTAATATGTAGTTGAATTCAACTTATTGGTTCTGGAAGATATAGTGTTCGAGTTTTTAACTATATATAGTGTTTTCTCTCTGTCGAAGTATCTCCAGTTTAATATTACATGCATCTGCCAGCGATTCGTTGGATTTCGATTTTTTGAGTATATCCTGTTTTTGTCCATCTATGTAGGGCAGCCGAAACGACACCTTCTCACAACTGGATGGAGTTTGTTTGTTGGTGCAAAGAGGCTTAGAGCAGGGGATTCCGTTCTATTTATCAGGTACATCGGAGTTACATCTTAAGCTATGGTGCTATGTTCGCCAAACCCTCGCAGATAGTTTACGTTGTGATGCTACCACTGTTGTCTGATTGACCATTTTTTTTCTCACTATCACAAGGGATGAGAAGTCACAGCTATTGATCGGTGTGAGACGAGCAAATCGTCAGCAAACAACATTGCCGTCATCAGTTCTATCTGCTGATAGCATGCACATTGGTGTCCTTGCTGCTGCGGCTCATGCTGCAGCTAATCGGAGTCCATTCACTATATTCTACAATCCAAGGTCCGCATGATGTGTATTCGTTTCCCTGTTCATATTTCATGTCTTTTTTGGGGATATTTTCTTGACTGCTATTTCTACTCAACCGTAGGGCATGCCCTTCAGAATTTGTCATACCTTTGGCCACATTCCAAAGGGCTGTATTTGGGACACAGCTCTCGATTGGCATGAGGTTTGGAATGATGTTCGAGACAGAGGAGTCGGGCAAGCGCAGGTAATGGATAACATCGTTGGTAACTTGTTACGGAATCCAAGTACTTTTCTTAATATTTTCAATGGTCAAAGAATGCAGCTGGTTTCAATATGTTCTGTGTAATACAATAACTACGTTATCAACACGATAATGGTGTGTTCATCACTTTAATGGGCGGAGGGAGGTTAACATTTTCGATGATCTCTGCAGATATATGGGTACGATAGTTGGAATTAGTGATTTAGATCCGCTGAGATGGCCTGGTTCGAAATGGCGAAATCTTCAGGTAGAGTGGGATGAGCCAGGGTGTTGTGATAAACAGAACAGGGTTAGTTCATGGGAAATCGAAACTCCGGAAAGTCTTTTCATATTTCCTTCTCTGACTTCGAGTCTTAAAAGACCGATGCACTCTGGATTCTTGGGTAAGTTTTACTTTCTTCTGTTTTCCAGCAGGCAACTCTGTAAATGTTTTTCTTACTACTGTTTTGGCGCTAACAGGAGCAGAAGCCGAATGGGGAAATATGACCAAAAGATCATTCATCCGGGTTCCTGAGATTGGAAACGGGAACTCTTTTCCATACCAGATTTCAAATCTATGTTCGGAACAGCTAGTCAATATGCTAATGAAACCTCAACTTGTTAATCATGCCGGAACATTAGCTACTCTACAGCAGGAATCAGCTGCTAATGTAGATTCAGTAGATATGAAGGCTATGCAGGCCAAAATCAACCAAAAGAATCCAGCTGATGGCGTAAACGCGAATGCACCATTTCATGGAATTCCACCGGGAAATCTGAACACCGTAGCCAAGTTTGGAAGCCAAGCACCAGTTGGAAGTAGCACTGAGAAGACGAAATCAGAACCTGAACTTTCTGCAGATCAGTTAAGTCAGTTGAGTTCAGCAGGGCAAGGCATCGAGGATAAATTAGTTGCAGGGTTTGCGAGTCCCTATAACATTATGAATCAGCTGACATTTGCCAACCAAAACACCAGTTCAGCGCAACTACAAACTAGCCCGCGGCCTACGCAGCCCTTGGATTCACTACTCTACCACTCTCAACAAACTGATTTACCTCATTCGGATTTCAATGGCATGAACAGTTCACTTCCATTCCTAGACAATGATGAATGCATGTTTTACTCTTCTTGCCAACCCTTTTCCGGGGCACTCACATCACCGGGGGCTTTGTCTGCGTTTGGTTTACCAGATTCTTCAACTGTTTTAACTGACGCAAATACTTCCTCCCTAACTTCAATCGGTCAGGACATGTGGGATAATAGCCTCATTAATTCAAGCAGCCTGAGAGATTTGTCGGATGAGAGCAACAATCAAAGTGGGATCTACGGTTGTCCGAACGTCGATGTTGGTAGCGGCTTAAGTACTGTCGTTGACCCTTGTGTCTCAAGCACTATACTCGATGACTTCTCTACACTGAAGAATGCCAACTTCCAGAATTCTTCGGATTGTTTGGTTAAAAACTTGAGCTCAAGCCAGGATCTTCAGTCGCAGATTACCTCGGCGAGCCTTGGAGACTCTCAGGCTTTCTCTAGGCAAGACCTGGCAGACGCCTCAGGCGGTACATCCTCGAGCAATGTAGAACTTGATGAGAGCAGTCTACTGCAGAACAGTTCGTGGCATCCGGTGGTTGCACCCATGCGAACCTACACGAAGGTAAGCAATTTTATCGAATTGAATCTTCTATTGTAACGATTTTGATTAGGTATATCTCTCACGCCGAGCCTAGAGTGATGAGTTTGGTTTTGGTTGGCAGGTTCAAAAGACGGGTTCTGTTGGGCGGTCAATTGATGTTACTAATTTCAAAAACTACGAAGAACTATGCTCTGCAATCGAATGCATGTTCGGATTGGAAGGGCTGCTAAATGATCCAAGAGGTTCAGGGTGGAAATTGGTTTATGTAGATTATGAGAGCGACGTTCTACTCGTCGGGGATGATCCTTGGGAGTAAGCAAACCAAAACTTCTGCTATAAATTTGTGTTGAAAGATTGTACTGGTACTTCAACTCAACTTTGATCGCTGTCATTTGTTAAAATTTTTGCAGGGAATTTGTTGGTTGTGTTCGCTGCATCAGAATCCTTTCGCCTACGGAAGTTCAGCAGATGAGCGAAGAAGGCATGAAGCTTCTGAACAGTGCTGCAATGCAAGGGATGAATAGCACCATGTCCGAAGGTGGCCGTCCCTAAAATGGCCGCCACTGCAGCTACAATCGCGCACAATGGTCCAGGCAGGTTGCACGTTAGGGTTTGCAACTAGGATGCAGTGCTAGGCAAGTTGATGTGGGTGCTAATGTACTTTAGCTTTTGTGTTCTAGGCGAGGTTTGATGTACTAATACCTGACATTAATTAGCAGGAAGTGAAACTAGAAGGGTACTTTAATAGTGTAATGGAAACTTTTGTGCTTCTTAAAACTTCTATATCATCCGCTAAACACGAACGAGTTTATAATGCAGAAGCAATTGATGCAGATAAACATCGAAAGCGTTCCTCGGCTAAACTGGGATAGATGGCTAAATTATTCAGAAGAGCATGCATCTTTGAATGGTAAAATGAATCAAATATCAATGCCGTTATACATTTAAGAATACACTATGATTTTTTCACTTCCTAACAATTCATTGTCTAGGGAACAGAATAACTAATACTCCCTGAAGTACAAAATAATAGATACGATAGCTTACAAATTACAGAACCGATTCCATTTTCTACCACCTGCTCTTATTGCAATGTTGAAGGAATATCACGAGGATGTTAAAAAGCAATGAACCTGCACAAATTGCGTGCGAGGAAGCATATAGAACATCAAATTTTTGCTAACTAATGCAGTTTCTTGCGAGAAGTACCTGGTCATCATACTCTAACTGGTTTCTGCAAAACGGCAGACAAATAGATCTCTGATTTGCCTGACCCTGCTGCCCCCGCCTTCTCCCCGACAACCCATTTCAGCTTTTTATATCCAAACCGCTCGATCAATCTGGTTAAATCCCTCTTCTTTTCATCATCGGAGCCATAAAAGTTGTCCAACCAAAACAAACCTCCAGGCCTCAAAATGCGGTCGATGTCAAACATCAAGAACTCAAACTTTTCCGGTTTTCCCGCAACATCCAATCCACTAGCGGCATGAACCAAATCGAACACATTATCATAGAAAGGAAACCTATGATCTAAGCTCAAAAAAAGAGGGAAAAGCCCTCTTGCTGCTATGAATTCGCTAAACGGGGCTTCGATATTCAATGTGTTGGTGATCACAGTCATGTTCCTTTCTGCCATTCTAGCAGCAAAGGTACCAGACCCACCTCCAATATCAAAACCTATTCTGATTCCTCCACTCCCTAAAGCTAAAACATCATCAATGAGGAAATCATTTTTGCTCCTAGCCTTAACATATCTCTGGCTTTCGGACCCGTTAATCAAATCGAAACAACCAACGCAATCCCTATTCAATTTCTTAGCATTCAAGCATTCAAATTTCTTGCATCCAAGGCCACTCCAACTCACAATCTTATCACTAACAGGTTTCCAAAGCGAAATCGGTAAAGGGTTTAAACCCACCTTAGGAACCGTCTTGGCAAAGCACCTCCGTCGCGGCAGAGGCTCGCATCCCCGCAGAATCAGCTTCTGGGCAAGGTTCCAATCATCGGGGCAGGGCCCGGAGACCTTGTAGTTCATGTACTGTGAAAGCAAGTCAGCGGATTTCTCGCAGGAATGGCCGACGGAAGCCACCATTTCCGTGATCCCGGTTTTCGAATCTTTTCCGAGAGGGAGCTGGTGGTGCTGGAGGAAGACTTTGAGCTCGTTCGCGACATTGGGTTTCGAAAGATCGATGCTTTTGTATCCAAGGAGCTCCTTTTCCATCTGGGCAAGCTTCTTTTGCGACGAATCGATCTCGCGGAGGATCAGACCGACCTGCTCGGAGATGAGGGAGATGTTCTTCTGGGTGTGGTGGAGGAGGTGGTACGTTTGGTGGTCTTTCGGGGCGGATGTGAAGGCGTAGAGGGCGAAGAGGTTGGTAGTGATGACAGAGAAGAGCATGAGGAGGTTGACGGCGGAGGAACAGAGCGACGCTCTTCGGAATCTGGCGGTTCCGTCGCCGATCTTGAGAGAAACGGAGCCCATCTTGGCGGTGTGAGTGAATGAGATTTGGGGAGTGATTTGAATGAACAAACACTCACTCAGTGGGGAGTGGTGGAGAGGAGGATTAAAGAATTGTCAAGTGGGATTAGAGAGTGATTTGTGAAGTTAAGACAGTGTTAACTTGTCTAGGAATCAGGACTTTGTCGGCTGCGATTGTAACGTGTAAAGAGCGTAAAATGGGAACCGGATCCCTTCAGATCCCAATAATCTAAGCTTAATAATCAAATAATCCGATCATTGAAATTTGATCTAACGACTACAAACAGATGACTCCTCTAAAGTTATAATAATTGTAACGGTTGGATCAAATTTCAACTATCCGGATCAAATGATCCTTGAGCTTAGATTATTGGGATCCGGTTCTGTAAAATGGGATACCAAATGATGACGTGGTTCAAGAAAAACTCGATAAAATTGTTCGACTTAATTAAGCTTTCCAAAAATCAAGACTTCGTTTAATTAGCACAAACTCTAATTTTCTCTCTTACAGCAAGAATTTTCCTTCTTTGGAGGTGTTGGGTGCAAGTTGGATAGGAAATTACGATTCTTACTTGATACACATCCGCACCAAACACAAATATTGCAAAATTGGAACATTCTGAAGAGGAAGAAAAAATTGTATAGAAACCGAGAACGTATAATTTTCGAAATTTCAATAATTCTGCAGAAGATTTGGCCACAACTGATCAGCAAGGAGTTACGTTGAGCACCTGTATATGGAGAAAGAGGTTGCCGCAGTCGATCGGAAAAACTCTTAGGGTGGGTATAACAACATAAATTAAACAAATTTTGACAAAATCTAGCTCAAAAGGCAATTTTGAGCCACACTAGGAGGCTCCGCAATTGAAAGATGTACACACAGGAAGTAGTAGTAGCTACACTAACTGCTAATCTCCCTATCCATTTTCATTCTCTTTGTCTTGTGCACCTCCGGCACACTACCACCTCGTGGCTGGGACGATGCATCATGCTGGAATGTGCAATTTGCTCCTTTGTTGCATCCCCTTGCACTGTTGAAGTATATGCAAGGCTTCATATTCTTAGGCTTTGAATCTCTTGGTTTGTAGTTATTATTGGATTCTTGGTTTACAGATGAATGATCGCTATGTCGGTTTCCAAATGGTGGAAAGTTGTCCTGCCTGTCTCCTCCATGTTGTTGAATCAAGCTTTTATAATAGTTGATGTCCTTTGCTAGTGGAGGTGGTCCAACAGAAGGCGAAGAATGAACTGAAATTGATGCAGGAGGAGGTAGTCGTGCATCAGGAAAATGTCCCATTCCAGCAACGTTTGGTGGGGGATAGAAATGTCCACTTGATGAAGGTGTGCTGATTTCTGTCCTGATCATGTGAGATGAATCTGATAGGCCCATTTGGGGTGGCCTTGTTATTGGTTGTTGATCTGTAACCAATTTCTCAATCATTTTTGGGTTGCTGAGAATCTTAATGAGCAATTCATGATCAATCATATTTCCGTGCTCATTGTTATTCACAATTGCACCAAGGGCAGCAGCTACAACATCAGGTTCTGCTGCAGTAGGCATTCCAAGTGTTGCAGGTATGTGGTTTCCATTGTTAGGAATATTGTTTTGAGATGGAGCCGAAATTCCCTGAACGGATAGAAAGGACTGCGAGCTTGTGGAAATGTTAAACGCTTCCACGGATTCAGATGATGTTTCACCTCCTGCATCTTCGTCTTCAATAGGAGTAATAGGTATGATAAGAGGTTGCCCACCAGTATGACTAGAGTCTTCAACATCTGCCAAAACAGAGGGGCTGTACACAGAAAAAGAAATACTGTTCAATTCATGGGTGGGTGGAACTTAAATCCAAAATTGTAGAAAGCAAAGTGACGAACTTTGAAGGAATGGCAGATGGCCGTGGATAAACAGCTTCCAGTACTCTTATCTCTCTCTGATTTTGAATCTCCATCTCTTTGCTTTCCTCCCCAGAAACCACTTGCCAAGTGAAGTTTAGTACAACCTGTTAAAATTTAGTATAATTCGAAAAATATGTATTAACTAATATTCAGTATTTTTCAAGGCATACATGCTATTGAAACAAGGTATATTGGTCAAGATTAAAATCCCAAGCCTAAGGTGTACTTTACCTTAGGAGGGCATCTCCATTTGATCAAAGGAATTTGAGACAAGTCAATCTGCGGCTGATTTGCCGGATGAGCTCCCTCAAATCCAGGGGGTAGAGTGTCATCTGAGCCTGTTCCAGATGAATGTGATGGCCAAGATGCCTTTGCTTGGAGGTGATCTTGAGCGCTCAGCCCAACTTGCGAAGGAGATTCCTCCAAGAGAAACAGCTTTACCTGTTTAACAGAGAAGCATCAGTACGATAACCATTTAAACTAACATTAATATATCAACATTGTCGATCATCATTTTCCACAAACTTCTTCAGAATGCTGAGCTTAGATGCACAGGGAAACTTCAGAAATCTTTGGCATAACTTCTCCTTTAAATAATAACACGACTGAAATCCTAAAGCAAATTATGAAAATAGAAGTGAAAAAGAAAAAATGCACAGATAGAAGAAATAAAGATCATAGAAAATCAATTAAACTATACTAGAGATTAACGTGACTACATATCACTGCATTTAATCCTCCCATGTCCATCTCCACCCGGTCACTTGTAATCAGTTTATTCGAGATTGTACTGGACACATCAATTCGTATATAGCTCAACAAAAATCAGATTTAGCAAGGAGGATTTTGCTAACTATATAGGGCAATGAACTAGACAACCCACTTCTTAAAACAAACTTATTTCGGGCAACACTAATACGAGCAAGTTCATCCAATAATTAAACAGCGTCTTAGGAGTCAAGAAGTGGCAGACATCACAGTAAACTCTAGATGGCTTTAACAGAATTATTGATGTTGTATCAAAGAGATAGGAATCCTCTGAACATGGTTTGATAGTTTGAGAGTGACCTTTGACTAAATATTTAAGACAAGGTTGAATAAAAAACCCGCACTTGCCATTAAAATAAAAAATAAAAAAAAGACGACAAAAGATGCATCACATATCACACTCTGGGAGGTGATATTAATGCTATCCGGATGCACACCCAAGACCCCAACAAGCCTTTAGCTTTGATAGCTTTGCATGCCCCAGCAGATAATGTGGAAGTTATCCTTATGATATGGCCCTCCCATGTTGGAAGCGGCCCAAGTCTTGGGCTTATTCTCCTCTTCAAACAAAAAGAAAAGGAACAACTTTAGAAAGAAAATAACAAAGAAGACACTTCTGAGTAGCTTAACTTCATGTTTATGCAATGACACATTAAACTCTATTAACAATAGAACCAAGAAATTTGAAATAGAAGTTCCCTAATGAAATGATTCAACCTTTCTCAAACACAAGAACCTTTCACATAATTTGTAATGACAAAGTATCACACAACAATAACAAACCATTCATGAACACAACTACGGTAGACAACCAAATGCAATCAATTCAAAAAGAGAAATGCAGAAGTGGCCACCGTATTCAAATACACGCCAGTCAAAAAACCTTGACAAAACAAGAAACTCAAGTTTTTGGCCTTTCTCTGATGGTTTTAGAAAAGTCAGTCACTAATCCAAATAAAGCTATTCAACAAAGTGCTACACAACATGACCAGGTTTATGATAACGCTTATTCCATTCATCTTTATCAAACACTAGGAAACTACAATCACCCCACTATTCTATGGTTCTTGTAGAACCTTTTTAGCAGGAAATGAGAACACTTCTCAGGTGAGAAGTCGCGGTTGCAAAAGACCAATAACCTTATAATTCCTCAAAAATATCTAACTTGCATATATTTCTTATTATCCCCTTTTATTCCCAGCATGGCCAGTTATCAATCAACATTCTCAAAGTTGCTCCAAATTCAGTGAAAACTAGTTTAACAATTAGCTTGTGATTTTCGCATTCATTTACATGTATATTCATTTTAAACCTCATTGCATATTATCCTCTTTTGAAATTATATTGAAGAACGGGCCACCAACTTACGAATTCTTCATAAAAAGTTTCAATGTTGGTATTTGTACACAAGAATCCATTTGTATCTAATCTCACTTTCTTCTTCATAAGCTTTAAGCCACTTTTTTCTCAAACAATGATGGATTGCTGCAACGATGTAGATATGGATTTGGCGTTCAATGGTCATTCTCGCCCTAAAGATCATTAAGTGTTCCAATGGTTGTGCTTACCACTGTTCCAATTGATTAATTCATCAAACAGCACCAAGACAAAAACTTCGAACTTTACCCTTTCAAAATTTACAGCTTTACGAAAAGGTGGAAAGTAGATTAAGCTAAAAGGGTAACCTTATTTCATCACTTCATATTCTGCTTTTCATGAATACACAATACCAATTTCACAAGAAAACACAGGACTGTACGAGCTGCAGATGCAACAAATTCCAACATTTAAGTCATACAAATTCAGAAAAAGGCTTTCTTTCTCCATCAATCTTTGTCAATTGTCAGATGACACTGAGACCAACTTATCATAGACATGCAATGCAATTCGACACAGAATCACTTCAAACGAACGAAACGATTACCAAAAGTGGAGAACTTTAACATACATTTTCTAACAATTCATCAACTAAAACGATGCAGCATATAACTACACATCATAGCAAACCAATACATATGAATACATATCAAACAAAATAACACAATCCACAGAAGTTCAGATAGCTGATTCTTTTCGAGCTCATTTCGTATTCAACGAACAGAAACTACTGAATCGCTTATTATCATCAGATTGGGTCATTGAAAAATGCATTCTTTACCTGACAAAGATTAACATCTGAAGCCCAAGAAATCCTTTTCGTTTTGTGCAATCCCCGCATGTTAAACGAAATCCCCAAGAACCCTTCTTTTCCTGCTTCGATTCCAAATTTTAGTCACAGTATCTAATTCAGGTCAACAATTTCGGGTTCCAATCGAAATCTAAAACCCCTGCAGCTCTCTCAGATTCGAAACCCTAGTTCCTACTGCGTCGTCGGCGTCAAAAATCCCCTTTTTATAACTTAACCCTAACCCTAACTGTACAGATTTAACGCGATCCAATTGCAGAGAGGCTCTCTGTGCGTCGCGAAACGGCGATCGCAACCATGGCGGTTCGTCGAACGGAACGAAGCGCTATAAAATAAAATTCCTCTGGTTTTGGGCTTCGGCGTTTTTCCTCCTCCACCTTTTGTTATCCTATTTTTTTATTTAATTTAAATTTTCTTTTTATCATTTAAATAAGCGCGTGGTGTGTCGGATAGTTTTGCCTGTTGCGAAGATGGCAATCACGCGCTGGTATTGCGAACCGGGGTTTTTTTGGGTGGGCAAAGGTTTTTGGCCACGGCCTGTAGATTGTACGGAAAATGATGAATTTAAAGTGTTGAACTTGTTTGGAATAAAAAAAAAAAAAAAACAAAAGGAAAGTTCTCACTCTTTTTTTATTTTTATGTACTTTTGTTAATTTTTATTTATTGATTTTTTTTCATTTTATAATCGAAAATTGAGGATTGTGTGAAATAAAAAAAAAAGTGTTAAATAGCACTACCAAAAAAAATTGTGCTTTGTACAAAAATAATGAATGTTTCGATGTATATATATCAAATATATATATATCGATAGAATGAAGAGTTTAGATGTACCAACAATCCAACAACCATGCAAGATATCGACATATACATCAATTCATACTAGAAAATTTATAATATTGAGCTGAGATTCTTCTTTCTTTTCTTTTTTTTTTTTTTAGCCAAAGAAAAAAATGTCAAGCTCAATGTTATAAAATTTCTAGTATGATTTGAGCTTGATATTCTAAGTCTGGATAAACAATATGGACCCCAAAAGATAGAAGAAAAAAACCCACAACTTGAAAAGATTGGAGTACGGTTAGGTGCTGTAATTCATGGATGTATTATAATATAAGTGATTCTATATTGTTTATATTGGAAACATTAACCATGTCACCCACAAGAGAAATTTGCATAAAAAAGTGATGTAATATGATAGTTTGTTATTATGGTAAGCGAAATATAAAAAAAATTAACAAAATAAATAAATAAATTGAAAAGGGCAATTGGTATGAAGTTAGCGACGTAGCTTGGATGTTGTTGCTAGTGTTCTAGGGACTCTGTTCAAAGATAATCGGAACGAAAGTATCGATCATATCATCTTCTCTATTTTATAATATTTTTTTTCATTGAATTTTTTTCTTCCTTGTTGATTTTTAAAGTTGAAAAATAAACTGGTGGTGATGTTCCATTGACAAAAATAATGTGGTGATGTTTCAAACTTATTGCTCGTGGCTACATATTTTAACCACTTGCGTATGTTGCATGATTATTTTATGACAACCGACACTCAATTGGAAGACCAAGAGTTAACTATTGAGGCTTTGGGTTATCCAGGACACATATTTGAGATAGATGAACAATACTCCCCCTCCCTAGAAACGTATAAGAAAGTATGTAACTCAACAAGAAATTTCCTTATTTGTCCAATCTTTACACATATATTATTTTATGACACCGGCGCTTTACACATATATTATAATACGCAGATTAATTATACAACATGAGAAAGGAATGAGTCCCAATTGAATTGGGTAGAGACATATATTGTTATATTCTCTATTAGGAAAAGTATTTTTCCATTGATAAAATGAATAACATTACACTTTAGGTATTTATACAAAAGCTATCACAACTAACAAAAAAAGAAAACCTCCAAAACAAACTAAGATTCCTTAACCTCTAAGCATTATCTCTTGTAGGTGTAGTTACATTTTTATCCTTCATATCTCCCCTCAAACGAAATTGTGGAACTCTCAGTTGAAGTTTGTCTCTCAGAAGCAAGAACCTGGGCTTAGAGAGAGAGACTTGGTACAAATATCAGCTATTTGATCCTGTGTATATATATCAAATATATACATCGAAAGAATGAAAAGTTTAGATGTACCAACAATCCAACAACCATGCAGGATATCGACATATACATCAATTCATACTAGAAAATTTATAATATTGAGCTGATATTCTTTTATTTATTATTATTTTTTTTTTGGCCAAAGAAAAAAGTATCAGGCTCAATGTTATAAATTTTCTAGTATGATTTGAGCCTGATATTCTAACTTTGGATAAACAATATGGACCCCAAACGATAGCAAAAAAAAAACCCCACAACTTGAAAAGATTGGAGTATAGTTAGGTGCTGTAATTCATGAATGTGTTATAATATAAGTGAATATATATTGTTTATCTTGGAAACATTAACCATGTCACCCACAAGAGAAATTTGCATAAAAAAGTGATGCAATATGATAGTTTGTTGTTATGGTAAGAGAAATAAAATAAAAATTAACAAAACAAATAAATAAATTGAAAAGGAGAGATCGGTATGAAGTTAGCGACTAAATCTGGATATTGTCGCTAGAGTTCTAGGGACTTTCTTCAAGGAGAATCGGTATCAAAGTACCGATCAAATCATCTTCCCTATTTTATAATTTTTTTTTTGGTAAATTACACAGAACTACCTCAATTATTGGGTCATTAATAGTTCCATACCTTGTCTTTAAAAAGTTTCAATGTCATACCGTATCTTCGAATTTGTTATAATGTCATGTCTTCCGTCAGTTGTCTGTCAATTCCTCCGTTAAATGCTGACGTGACACTCTTTCTATTAAAAAACTAAAAAAATATTATTAAAAACTAAAAAAAAAAATCATTTAATATTTTGTAATTATTAAAATAATAATTAATTTAAAAAAGTTATTAAAAATAAAAATAAATAAATAACCCACCCCATGTTCGTCTCCCCCCCCTCGGGGGCCCAACCCCTGCAACCCAGAAAGGAAGAAGAAGAAGAAAAGAAAAGAAAAGAAAAAGAAAAAAAACCCATCTTCATCTTTCCCTGACCCCCCCTTCCCTGCAACCCACCCATTTCTTCCTCCTCCCGTCTTCCCATTCCCTCATCCTTCGCATCCACCACCTGCAACCCAGGGAAAAAAAAAAAAAAAAAAAAACCATATTCATCTTCCTCGATCCCCCTTTCCCTGCAACCCAGATCTCGTCTTCTACCGATTTCGTGGGTGGAGAAATTGGGCACGGAGAAAATGGGGGGAATGGGTGTGGATTTAAGGAGTGGGGTGTGTAGATGAGGGAAAATGGTGGGTGCAGAGGAGGAGGGAAGGGGAAGACGGAAGGGGGAAGAAATGGGGTGTAGGAGGGGGTTGGGGAAGATGAAGATGGGTTTTTTTTTTTTTTTTTTTTATAATTTTAATATTTAAAAAATATTAAATGATTTTTTTTTAGTTTTTAATATATATATTTTTTTAATAGAAAGTGTGCCACGCCACAAGCCACATCAGCATTTAACGAAGGAATTGACAGATAACTGATGGAAGGTATGAAATTGTAACAAATTCGTAGATGAGGTATGACTTTGAAACTTTTTAAAGACGAGGTATGAAACTGTTCATGACCAATAGTTGAGGTAGTTCTATGTAATTTACCCTATTTTTTCATTGAATTTTTTTCTTCCTTATTGATTTTTAAAGTTGAAAAATAAACTCGTGGTGATGTTCCATTGACAAAAATAATGTGGTGATGTTTCAAACTTACTGCTTGTGGCTACATATCTTAACCATTTGCGTATGTCGCATGATTATTTTATGACAACTGACACTCAATTGGAAGACCAAGAGTTAACTATCGAGGCTTTGGGTTATCTGGACACATACTTGAGATAGATGAACAATACTCCCCATCCCTAGAAACGTATAAGAAAGTACGTAACTCAACAAGAAATTTCCTTATTTGTCCAATCTTTACACATATATTATAATACGCAGATTAATTTTACAACGTGAGCATAGGAATGAGTCCCAATTGAATTGGGAGAGACATATATTGTTATACTCTCTATTAGGAAAAGTATTTTTCCATTGATAAAATGAATAACATTACACTTTGGGTATTTATACAAAAGCTATCACAACTAACAAAAAAGAAAACCTTCAAAGCAAACTAAGATTCCTTAACCTCTAAGCATTATCTCTTGTAGGTGTAATTACATTTTTATCCTTAATATCCCCCCTCAAACGAAATTATGGAACTCTTAGTTGAAGTTTGTCTCTCAGAAGCAAGAACCTGGGCTTGGAGAGGGACTTGGTTCAAATATTAGCTATTTGATCCTGTGTACAAACAAAATGCACATATACTTGGTTTGCCAAAACCTTTTCACAAATGTAGTGATAATCGATTTCAACATGCTTGGTCCGAGCATGAAAAATAGCAATACTAACAAATTCTCCACCAAAATCAGACCTTAGTGCAATAATGTTTGTACCCAGAGAATTTTCAACAAGTAATTTCCATTGCATAAAAGTGGAGAGTACATTAGATTTACACTTTAAGGGATAAAACTAACAATATCGGGTGACATAATACCTAAAACCATGGTGAGAAAATGTAGGTGATGGTCCCCAAACATTGGTATAGATAAGATTCTAATGGCTTATTTGTAGTACAAGTAGTATCAAAAAATGGAAGTTTAGAACATTTCCCTAGTGCACAATCTGAGCAAAAAGTCTTATTTGAACCATCAAAAACAGGAATACATGACTGAGATGTCAATTTATTGATGATTTTAACAATAGGGTGGCGCAATCTTTGATGCCAAAGATACCTTGGAGCTTTGACAGATGCAGTGAATGCTTGATGAAAAAGTAACAGGAGATGATTATGAGTGAAAAGGATAGAAGCCATGTTGAACTGGACCTTTAAAAAGCATCATCCCCGAAGAAAGATCCTTCACAGTGAAATGAAAAGGATAAAGATGCATGGAACACGAATTGTCAAGGAGAAATTGATTTGCAGAAAGAAGATTATGCTTTAGATCAGGGACATGTAAAACATGTTTCAGTGCGAATGAATTATTTGGAGTATGTAAAGATGATGAACCAGAGTGGAGAATTGGCAAACCTTTGATATCTCCAATATACATTTGCTCGGGGCCATTGTATGCTTCTGGATTCTGAATTTGCATAAGAATTCATCATATGCGAGCTTGCACCAGAGTCTACAATCCAAGTAGGTGTAGAATTGGAAGTAATAGCAACAGAATGAGAAGATTTGCCACTGTAATTTTGATCTATGAGATAAGGACAATCACAGGCTTCATGATCTGATTGACGAAAAATCTGACAAATGATCTTTCTATTGGAATATTAATTGTTACGAGCTCCGCGATTGAATCCTTGAGTGTTGTTGAATCTATAGTTTCCACGATTCTGATAATTGCCACGATTTGCATTCTGATAATTGCGTTCCACATTGCGACGTTGACTGCTGAAATTAAAAACATGCTGAGGAACAAAAGCTTGAGGATTAGGGTTTGCAAGCAAGGGAAGAATACCAGTAAAATAGTTATACACCTGAAGGCTGAAACGGTGCAGGTAAAACGGTTTTCGTTCGATTATTAAGTTAAATCTCTTTGCTGAGAAGTAAGCCGTGCAATTCATCAATAGTCGCAGATCCAATACGAAACTGAATGACATCCACAAAAAGTTAAATTCAGGAGGTAATCCATGAAGAGTGACTGAGATAAGTTCTGAATCTTTAATTGGAGCACTAGCACTTGCAAGTGCATTTGCGATTGCTTCAATTTGCTAGAGATATTGAGCAATAGTTGATTCACCTTTAACAAGACTGCGAAGACGAGATCGAAGCACGTGAATGTGAGATTGAGATGCAATTGCGAGTCGTGATTCCAATTTCGCCCAAAGTTCTTGAGCAAAAGTCACGCCAACCGTGTAAGGAATTAAAGATTCATAAAGAGTTGAATTAATCCATATAAGAATGTTTTGATCATTCTTAAACCAAGTGACATAGGCTGGATTGAGAGTTGTCGTCCGACTCCCTAACGAATCAAGAAGAAATTTAGACGCCACCATAGTTCCGTCAATGAGACCAGTGAGATTGTAACAATGGAAGATTGGAGCAAACAAAGCACTCCATGTCAGGTAATTTGATTGGAACCATGGATCCAATATTTTGGATCATAATGGAAGAAGAAATCGCAGAATTAGGGTTGAGATTGCATCAGGAAACGGATGAACAGGAGAATCTGATTCCAAAAGGAGATGCAGAGGTCACCATAGATGTAGGTTGAAGAAAGAATCACGATCAAGATCAAGAAATCGATAGATTGATCGGAGAAGATGAAGAAGATTAGACGATGCAGAGAGAAGCGGGAAAATTGGATCGAAGAGGTGTCGTGAGACTATAGGCGGTTGATACCATATTAGGAAAAGTATTTTTCCATTGATAAAATGAATAACATTACACTTTGGGTATTTATACAAAAGCTATCACAGCTAACAGAAAAAAAAACCTCCAAAACAAACTAAGATTCCTTAAACTCTAAGCATTATCTCTTGTAGGTGCAATTACATTTTTATCCTTAGTACTCTCCTGAATTGATCTTTCGACCTGAGTTGAAAAGGTGGAAACTTAATCCTGCCTACCTATACAGGGAAATCCTAAATACTTATCGAATATGGTAAACTATCCTATATATTCCTCACCTACAGATGACTACATAAATATATGTACACACACACATCCGTGTTATATCTTGAACTATCATCAATTAGTTGTGTCTTTTCTTCACCTGTGAGATATTATCATGGCTCGTGGTGCTGCTAATTTCACGTGTTTATTCGTCATGGCAATACTAATGCAAGCTTTCATGGTCGTGCTCTCTCAACCAGTCGAAGCAGAAGCAATCTCGAGGTCCTGGTTCATCACCGTCGACAAATCCGGCAACGGCGATTACACCAAAATACAGTACGCAATCGACGCTGTGCCGTCGGGTAATGCTCAGCTTGTGTTTATTTGGGTCAAGCCTGGTGTGTACCATGAAAAAGTAGTTGTACCTTCGGACAAACCCTATATAACAGTAAGTGGCACGGGTACTGCACATGAGACTGTAATAACATGGAACGAATGCGGAGAGATTCATGATGTTGCCGTTTTTACTGTGTTGGCTACTGATTTTATAGGCCGCTTTATCACCATTCAGGTATGAATATATGCCTATGAAACAAGTTTTATATTTACTAAAGAATAGATTATCGATATGTCATTTATAATATGTCAATACCATTGTAACCAGTAAAATGTACTAACATATTAACCCTAAACCACAGACACATTATCTATACATTATCGACAATTTCTTCACATGCATGCACATTAACGAATACTTTAATTTTCTCATTGCAGAATACATATGGAATTGGTGCGAAAGCAGTGGCGCTAAGAGTCTCGGCCGATAGAGCAGCATTCTACGCATGTAGAATTTTGTCTCGGCAGGATGCCTTATTCGACAACGTCGGGAGGCACTACTACGGACACTGCTACATTGAAGGTGACACCGATTTCATTTTCGGAAACGCTGCTTCTTTCTTCGAGAAGTGTCATTTGCATTCGCTCTCGGAGTACAATGGAGCGATCACGGCACAACGAAGGTATGCGCCTTCCGATCAATCGGGGTTCACCTTCTTGGCATGCAGCATCACCGGCGTCAAAACGGCACTACTAGGACGGCCGTGGGGTCCCTATTCGACAGTCATCTTTGCGTATACTTACATGTCGAACGTGATTCTTCCAGAAGGCTGGGACGGATGGAGACTAGCACCCAACAACTTAAGTCATGTTTACTATGGGCAATACAAATGCTATGGACCGGGAGCCGAGACATCACAAAGGGTTAAATGGTCACAAAGCCTTACAAGCGAACAAGTTACACCCTTCTTTGATCAAGCGGTTGCCCTTCGATCCGAAAGCTGGCAAGGTCGTTGGCCTCTCCTTCATCCTTACGGAGCAGGACAAGGAAGCATGGACGGTAAGAACAATATAGAAGAACTAGGGGAGGATCCCAGCCCCGTCGGAGAGGACGCGGGGGTTGGTTGGGACCCTGTGGAATGGAGTGGGGCAGAGGGGATGTTGATCAGCCCAGCGGAGGATATGTCGAGCTGCGAGAGTCGTAGGTCTCCTAGGATTTTTCTTTTTCTTCTTTTTAGTTTATTTGTTTAATGTCATGAGGAGTAAAGCAATACCAATGTATAACACTGCACTGACTTATCGATGTAAGAATGGCACAAAAAAAATCTTCGATACTAAAAATCAATTAGAACATGGCAAGTGACTACCTCGATCAGTTTTCAAGCATCTGTTTGGAGACCGATCGAAAAATGAAATGATTAACATTATGAAATAATGAAAACAAAGAAATAAGAGAAAATTGAGTTTATTACAATAAAACCTGGCAAAAAGCTTTCAAAAGCTCTTCACCTTATAGTTTGCCCCAAACTTTGGATAACCAAGCCAAAGCATCTGTACCGTACCCAAATCATATCACACAGCAGATTATACCATTTGGAACAAGTTGCAGAATACCAATTGTAAAAAAGGAAAAAATGTACATGAAAACGTCACTCGGCGTCTTATATTTATAGAAGGAAAACCCTGTAACTAGCGTCGTTAAATCAGGCGCCATCCAAGTTGAAAAAAGCTAGTTACAATCTGAAGTACTACCAGACATGTAATCATCAGACTCCGAATTTCCTGTTAAGGACTGGTCGTCGGCCACTGTTATCTTCAAGATGTCCGATTACTTCAATTCTTCACCTGTTCCATTTTCTCTCTGAAAGAAGCAGCACTCGAGCAGTAAGAAATCGGTTTATATTGCAGAGATTATACCCGATATGACATTATTAATCATGCTTTTTGGCAATGCAATCAAGTAGATGATTCATGAGAAAGTATGCATACCATTTGTCTTTGCACCCGGCTGTGCTTGAGACATTGACCGCTGGATGCGCGGAGACCCCTGCCTTCCATTTGTACCAGGTAAGGAATGTCTCTTCTTTACGTAAATGTCTCTGTCTTGCATATCTGGACTCGATCTTGGAGAGAGATTTGCTTGAAGTTTTGCTCTTGCAGATTCTGTGGCTTGCATGAAATGGGGGATGGAACAGTTGCTACTGCTGTCTCTTGGTTCTTGATCAATGTTATCAGCGGCGGGTTTTGCTGAACCAAATGAATTGCGTCTCTTCCCATTTTTCTGATCTTTACTGGATCCAGAATCATGATTTGGATTAGAGGGAGATTTCTTTCCTGCTGAAGCAAACTTACGTTTTTGGTTGGATCCACTCTTTTCAGCTTTGCCCCTTTTAGCTTTCACAGATAGCAGACTGGACGGTGTTCCTTGGGATTCTGGGACGGTCAAATGGCTTCTTGGAGAACCTTCTGGGGATGACGCATATGCTTCAATACCTGCCTCGGTGTACTGTTCTCTCTGGAGATCAGACGTAGTTCTCTCTGGCTGAGACTCTGTTTGATGGGAGTCCACAGCAACCACAGAATTTTTGATCTCACCATTAACAACTTTTTCTGGTTGATCCAAGACTGAGTCAGATAGGTTGGAGACTGGGATTGTAGGTAAATCTTTGGCTTGGACATCCGCATTTTCAGTGCTGTTAGCTTTGGGTCCATGCTCATGTTCCGTAGCTCCAACATCAGATCTATCAGGCGAATCAAGGGTGGAAGAAATGGAGATTTCGGTGCCACACTCAGAGCCACCAACTTGAACACTTGATACATGGGTGACTGGGTTTTCTGTCCCATTGACCTCCTTTCTGATTTCAGCATCCACCGCAGATGAGAATGCATTCCTTTGTAATTCACTTACAGCATCATCTTGATGGGACGGACTAATTGATCTACCTGAATTGGCAGTTGAACTCAGCACTTCAAATTTTGACTGTGCAGCAATAAATGCAGGATTACTCACTTTCCTCGATCCGAATACAGATTTCTTTCCGTCGGTTTCTAGATCTTCTGAGGCTAATCTTTTCATAGAACGTTTAGGTTGTTCAGTTTCCGTGACAGGCTTCCCAGAAATGGACTTGAGCTCCACTTGAGAATCTGCTTTTGATTGCATACTTTGATTTGAAGATAATTTATCTCTTCTGTGATCTCTTTCACATCAGATATACTTATATTCTGCAACTGAGGCTGTTCAATATTGGAATGGCTTGCCTGAAAGTTCAAGTTGTCAGCATCATAAGTAATCAGATTCTCTTCACTTTCAGATGGCACTATTGATTCCGTGATGCTGGACTTTGAGTCTGATATCTCACAAAGAACTTCATCATGAATTTTAGATTCCCCAGGGGACTCAGAAATTTCTTCCTTTCTTCTTACCTGTTTCTCCATCGCTGGCACTGCTTTTTCTGACTCTACAATATCCACCATTGACAGCGATGATAGTGACGTCCATCTCTCCATCCATTGCCAAGTAGAACCGGGCTTAGAGGAATCACACTTGACATGAAGAGGTTTGGTCTTTGGTGATGATTCCAACAACTTCAATTCAGAAAGTATGAGTTTAGGTAGTATATATGAATGAAAGATAAAATTAGCCAGGAGTACGGTTACAAAAGCAAAACATAGCAGATAAAGATTTCGAAGTATACCTGGCGGGCGAAACTATTCCTCAGTAGCTTCTCATTTGAAGTGTATGTTATATTTGATTTGGCTACTGATTTTTCCTTTTCCTGAAACAGAAAAAATAAATCCGGAAAATTCGTCATGAACAGGTAAAAACACTATTAAGTTGTCTCAAAGAACATTTCCACAGGGATTATGGGCTGATAATAGCAATAACAAATAACTTAACAAAAATTGCAATTGTGAAATAACCACTTATGCCTTTATTTCAGAAGGTGAATACAACACGTGATATGGAATAGAGCAAACAATATGATGTACAATACATAAGCATCTCAATGCCATAAACTAACCTCCCCAAGCTGAAGATCTTATAACACTGAATCTCAATGCGATTAGCTAACCTCACAATGATGGAGATCTTTATGACATTGAATCGCGACAAATTTCAGTTATTAGTTGACCTTTTCGTATTGCAAGTCAGACAATCTATTCATTACCTTTTTCTAAGAATTTGAACACAACATGCGATTTAAGCGGAAGGCTATCTCTATCAAACAGCGCCTAGCATTTGGATTACATACATTTAATCATTTTTATACGAGTACAGGTAATATTCTGCGTTACCATTATTCTGACTTGTTCCTATTGGCTTGACCAAGGACAGTTGGCATAGGTTAACAGACACCATACAAACTACCATCAAACAATTAATGAAGTTATGAACAAGATCACTTAAGGCAAGGAATATTTGAATAATGGCCTATAGAGAGCAGATTATTCTATTCTGAACTGAGTAGCATACCGAGATCTTAGAGTTATGGTCTATCTCTTGATGAGCATGACGAGCACGAACAAGAGCTTGCATTTTCACAAGAGCTTGAACACATCGTAGAGTTCCCACGGCATGCCTACGGACCAAATGCCCACGAACGGCAGCTTGCAACTTAACAACATTCTCAAGCTCCATAAATGATTTCTGAGCCTGCTTAATAATTCAATGAATATATTATTGGGAATGCTACTAATTATATACTTCAGAATTCATGTATATCAACAAGAAAAATTACCAATAATCCTCCGGAAGCAGTCTGCACAACAAGAACATCTGACTCATCCGGTTTGCATTTGACTGCATTTTCATCTTCTGCAACATTTTCAGTATGGGATACCTTTGGTTCAGTTTCGGTTACTTTCAGTTCAGTCTCCGGTACTTTTGGTTCAGTCTGGGATACCTTCTGTTCAGTCTCGGATACTTTCGGGTTCTCAGGAGTTACCAACTGGTGTTTCTCGTCAGTGCAATGTATAACCGATATCTTTTCTGGAACAGCAGTGCTCGTTGGAGGTTGGAAATTAAGAGCGGCTGATTCTGGGATCTCCTTATGTCCAGAAGTGGGGGTCTCTGTGATAACAGTGTTGCTCAACACTCGATGCCGCGCAGATCTCTTCCCGAAACTCCATCCGCGCTTGTCACTCGAACTCTTGCTCTAAAAAAAACCGAAACAACATTGATCAATACACCAAACACACACATATAACAACGTTTGATCAATACACCGCACACACACACATATAACAAAGTCCTCAATGAAGCAACTAACTGCAATAAGCAATTTAAACGATTTTCGGACAATATTATTAAATTGCAAATGGCGGTTATGATGAACCAGATATGCTTGAGAATCACACGATTTACGGACAATTAAAAGGTAGATAATTTTAGAATTTAGGATTGCATTTATCCTACTTATATTAAATCAGCAAAAGTTACACACACACTACCCAGATATAAAGATTATCTACCGTTTTTCGCAATCGGAAATCATGGTTTACAAGTATCAATTCTTAACCATATAACAGCTCCTAATGCTCCGTTTGGTAACACGAAACAAAGAGATTTTAAACAGTTAAATGCAAGATCAGATTCTTCAGATCTTCGCATAGAAAAGTCATTAATCTCTCAAAATCCAAACAGGGAATTAGCTGCTACAAACCTATAAATTAACGAAATGCAAATGGCATCATAGGCAGCAACGAAACCAAAAACGAAAAGTCATAGGAAACACCGAAATGCAGAAACCGTGAGCTATGAGAATACCTCAGGAGCTTCGAGGTCATCGTTGTTCGCTGAATCCTTACCGCAGGTGATAATATTGAAGCAAGAGGTAGATTTCCCCATTTTTTTTCCTTCTTTCACTTCTCTCTCTCGCTCGTTGTTGTTTCACTCTCTCTCTCTCTCTCTCTCGATTTTCGACAGACAACCGCCTACGTTGGTGCGGTGTTTCGAAATGCGACAAATGTAGTAGCTTGAGAACGCGGACCTCAACACACTCCTTAAATCTGGCTATAAGTCTTTTCTGGAGTCCGCCATTTATCAGCTCCGTTGCGCTTCTACGCCCCCCGTCTGTGGAAAGGGAAGGAAGTAAAACTTTATTTTAATTTTGAAACATCATATTTATAAATTGACCCCCAACTTGAAGTGCTTGTTTCACTTTGGTACTTAAGTAATGTGTCTCAAGTTGCTTCAGAACTCTTAAGAATGTATTAAATATGGAAAACATGGCATTATTTACCAAGTCTGGAGGTGTAATCATATTCAGGAGGTTCTATAGTTAGAACGACTAGTGAATTCCACAATGTCGAGTTAATTCCTGAAGTTTTAAAAATGCATTGATTATAAAAGTATCAAAACTGATCATGTGTATGATTATATTTTTTATTTATTTAGAATGACCCTTAAATATGATAATGTCAAATTTATTCATAAACTTTTAAGAATGTAAAATATGGATAACAATGACGTTAATTACAAAATTTGCCAAATCTAATGATAATTCAATTAGTTTAAGAGATTTTTTTTTTCATAACAACTCATGAATTCGGCAATATCAAGTTGGTCCTTGGATTTTAAACACCGACAACAATGTCGCCAATTACAAAAGCTATCAAATCTAGTGGCAGGTTCAACAATGTTTGACAAGTTTTATGATTAGGAACGACCCATGAATTCGACAATGTGCAGTTTGTCATTGAACTTTGAGAATGTGTTGAGTACATAAAACATAAAACAATAGCTTCAGTTACAAAACTTGCCAGCACTAATGACGTGTGCAATTATGTTCAACAATTTTTTTGTTTAAAACAATCCTCAATTTTGACAATATCATCAAGGAATTTTTTTGGACTGACACTTAGCTGTCAATGTTTTTTTAGACTATCGAGATAGATTTTAAACACATATAAAATTATCAGCCACGTATATTGAAGGAGATGGATGAAGATGGACAATAAATCTATGTTGCTAAGGTGCTTAACGAACCAATGTAATACCAAAATGACCACTTACATTGAGACACATTTACATCATTTGTTTGTTTAAGTCGTTTACCACTTCTTAATGTCAAAGCTAGTTTTTCAGTTTGGTAAATGTTAGGCCTAATCAATTTGTTTGGTTTGCCCATTTATTAGCAAAATATGCCTTGCCATAGGTACAAGTGGTCATATGGGAATAGACGATGACAATTTTGTTCAAAGTAAATGTGTCACTTAAAATTATTTAAAAAACAATCATGTGTTATTATGTCAATTTTAATTTGAAATAAAAATATGTTTTCTACCCTTATTAAACATGTTTTCGGCTTGCTAAATAATTTTTTTTTCCAGCATTGTAAAAGCAATGTCCCAAATTTGACTTGATTGGACGTTGAATTCGATTCCTTATTATTAAAGTATGAAACAGAAAACATAAGATACGGGACCAAAGTGAAAATATCCTCAAGATTTGTGAGGCAAATCTGCAATTAACCCTTAAAAAAACTGTAAATTGAGAATATCTTATCCAGTCCACCAGCCGTTGGTCATGGCTCACGAGCGTCTCGAGAAATTGCGTTTACCGGGGGAAATTGGATTAGCGGTAAGTTACCGTTAGATTAGATTAATAGCATTTATTTTTGTGCTAATGACGGTTTATTGGTTTATCCCCACCCATGTTTTTTGTGAGATGACACTCCAAACTCCAAAGTGGAGTTTCTTGGCCCACCCCCCTAATTATTGTTTTTTTCAATTACAATCAATATCTAACTTCTGACTATGATTATGATGGATGATTAAGTATATAAAACAAAACTAAAAATATTTGTAATTTATTGTGTTTTAGATTCAAACTTCAAACATTATTGTAGTGTAATATTTAGTGTAAGAATATTGCGTGAAATCAAAATTATAAGATATTTTTACAGAGTTTTATAATCAGAAATATAGTATGTCATATTCCTAAATTTATGAAATGAATCCCGAGTTAGTGTTTAGAAAAATTTGTCAGAGGGCAAAGTCATGCTACGTCTTAGAATGTTTATATGATACAGTTGAAACGTTTCCTTAAATTCATAAAACTGAATCGCATCACATAATTTTTCCCAAAGTTTAACTGCTATCCTTTATTTTTTTTTTTTTATTTTTTTTTCCAATTGCACTGAATTTGATCGATATAAGTTTGTTGAACCCACCCACCGTCTTTGGGTAATTGCTTCCATTTGTAGGCTTATCATTGGTGTTTTCAACTTGATTAATCATAAACCAAAACATTGGTACGTCAAAGCAGGTGATATAGCGATATGATTAGCCAATGGATTATAGATAAGATTGATTAGGCAAATTGGTCATTAGAAAATTCAAACCTAACAGTAAAACATAAGGCTCTCTCCCGACAAAAATTAGCTTATCACGAGAATAAGGACAAGGGTGTGCTGTGAGGAGAGTGGGGCCCAACCGTGGCTTTCATGTGAGAGGATTTACAACAACGAGATGATGGAGGAGAATAATATTTTATGTAAATGACAACGGTGGTATCCTAATAACAGGCAGATTTCAATCAGTAGTGAGTATGTGTGTGATTTGTACGACGTGATGAGAAAAATACTAATATATTTTGTTACTAAAATATTTTTAAGAGAATAGTCAACTATTCAGGCAAATCCAATTTACTGAACCACATCAACACAAAAACGTTATTTTTACGGTACAAATTGTATAGATAACGTAGTCGGTGTATCCTTTTTCAAAGTTTTTCTTGTATATAAGGGGCAGATGCTCTAAGGTGAGGGGGCGACGGAGGTTGCCAAGTAACATTGCTTCCTTTGACATATAATGTTGACTTATTGTTCTTCAGTACTCAGTATTACGGTTTGGTGGTATTTTTCTTCATTTGTAAATGAAAGGTCTTAAGTTTGAATCTCGTAGATAACAAATTCGATACCAAATTAGGTTGTCCGTTGTATGGCTTAATTGAGCTCCTCCTCTCTTTAGGCCGCCTCCAACCGACCTAGCCAAAGGGTCATAAGGCTAAAAATAGTTCGAAATAACACGAAAATCGTCTCCAACCAAGGGCTAGGCCAAAGGGCTTGTGGGCCCACCGGGCCCAAACCCCAAATCGAGCCAGCAGGCTGACCATTTCCAGTCAGCCCTCCAGCCCAACCGTCCAACGCTAGAATGTCAAGCTTGACAGTTTGCCAGCCTTCTAGCTCCAGAATGTCAAGCTTAACATTTTGCCAGCCCTCCAACTCAGCCCATTTGAATGTCAACGACTATCTGGCATCAGCATGACGCCAGCTATCTAACGTCATGCTGCCATCAGGTTACCGTCAGAATTTGAAAATTTTTTTTTTCGGACGAATTTAAAAAAAAAATCTAATTTTTTTCCTATAAATACCTACACCATTCCTACAACATTGAAAGCTGAAAATAAGAAGTGCCACGTAGATATCCTATCTAAAATTTGCACAATCAATTACATCTCGACACGTGACACATGAAATTCTATCTGAAAAATTATTAAGATTACATAAAGATTAGAATTTGGAGGGTTACTTACTTTAACAACATGTGTTACTCGAAATCCTATTCGAAAAGTTATTGAGATTACATAAAGATAAGAAATTTGGAGAGTCACATGTTAACGACACGTGTCACTCGAAATCATATCCAAAAAATTAATATGTCAAACTTTATTTTAATATGGTAGTTTAATTTAATTAACTATATTAATTTAATTAAAATAATAAATTATGTTTGGCCTATGTTTCTTTGGTCCTTTCGGTTGGATATGGTTTTTTGTCAAAAAGACTATGTTTGGACTATGGCCCATTGACCCCCTCAATTAGAAATGGTATAAAATATCGCATAGTACTGTTCATTAAAGTATAATTTTTGCAAGATTATAGGGTTAAAGAGAACTCTTTGATCCTTCTTCGGTTAGAGATTATCTTAATATAAAATATATTATTATGCTAAAAAATAAGGTAAAGATGCTCTAAGGTGAGGCGTAGACGGAGGTTGCCAAGTTACATTGCTTCCTTTGACAGATAATGTTGACCCATTGTTTTCCAGTAGCCAGTGATCAACGAACTACTGACATCTCTTTTGTCCTAACGTGCCACGTGGTTTACTGGGTGCACGACACGTGTGATCACATGGGAATCTGAGATCGTACACCATTGATAATTTGATATAGCTTGCTGAAGGCATATGTCGCCATGTTTGGGCTGAACTGCAAATGGGTTGCCACGAATCTGTCAGGTGCGGGCCCCACCACCAATTACTTTACTACACTGAAAGGTCTTTGCCATATGATTTTCATGGTGGCGGTTGCACCTGCTCTGCTCCATCTCAAAACAACTCCCCGCCGTACATTTGAAATCTGGCCTCCAATGTTGCTAGGGAACTTACTTGCAATCGAGATGTTATTTTTATCGGTATTTCAAGTTCATTACATGTTGCTAAGTGTTTTAATTTGTTCATATAATTGTATGATTGATCGTGACATAAGTTCTTTACCAAATTAAAATTCTAGAGTAAAATGTTCCTATACTATAACTAAAAAGTCCTCTACTAGTCAATTTGAATAATATCGACTAATTAGTTTTGAACTCGATGCTCACATTTGAACATAGCATTAGAAAAAAAACTACTCACATGTTTTGGCATGTTCTAATATCCTTTTTTTCTACAAGAGAAGGTAACGGCCATCTTCCCTACCGAGAAAAAGTAGGCACTTTGCACACGCCTATTGTAGAAAAAGTAATCCCGCTTAATCTTACTCCCGGCTAAGTGGCCATGATTGAATAATTATTGTGGATAAAATTTTACTAATAGTTGTGTGGTCTCCTTCCCATTTCTCCACTTTAACCATGGAGATGGACATAAAATGGCACCAACCCCATTAAAAATGGATATTGTTGATTGCACAAGGACGTTTTACACCTAAGATTACGATTAAAAGTAGGTCTTGGACTTAAATCTTTAGGTGGGGAATTATTTCAGCAAGCAGCTTTCTTTGTAACCATTTTGATTTAGGTACAACGGCATATACGACCGTCCACCACGCCGGTCCTCCAATTTG